ATTCCAGGAACCCAAGAGGAAAGCGAATTTTGAGAATGATGAGGGGAACAAATGTATAAGTGTGCTTTACACAATTGATGTATGTATGGATTGTGATGAATTGTATGAGCCCCAATAAAATGATTTAGAAAAATGTTTTAAAGAGTGACATAATCAGGTACACATTTTTTGGTGATCTCTATGACTATAAAATGGGAAATGTATGAAGACGCTATTGCAGTTTTCCAAGACAAAAGTGAAGGTGCTTTAGGGTGGTAAAGATAGAGAAAAGTGAATTAATTTACGAATTTTATAATTACCATTATAGTCATGTATTCCCTGTGAAGGAACCCTGGTATTGCTGTGAGCTAGGCACTAGGCTGCTAACATCAAACTTATCAGTTAAGACCACCAGCCACTCCAGAGAGAAAGATGAAGCTGTCTGCTCCTAAAGCCTGTCTAAAGGGCCATGAGTCATAATCAACTTGGCAGCAGGTTTGGGTTTGGTTTGAACCCTCAAAATACTCCGTTGGTTTGCAAAGCCTACTACTACTTGGCTTTCAGGGCCAGGCCCCATATCAGAATATAACTCTTTCTTGAAGACCTTCTGTAGCCCTTCAGGTGGAAGTCGTTTCTCCTGGCTGTTTACATTCAGAGTAGTCAGTTTATCTTCTTAATGTCACTCTTTTTGTATTTTTTTCTTTTTTTGTCTTTTTGCATTTATGTTTGGTCTTCATCTTCTTAAACTGTAAGCTCTTTGAGTACAAGATCCCTGTCTGACTTTTAATTGAATCTCTTCAATATTTTTTATTATACAATGTAAACATGGAATGAATAATTAAGCGTTTTAAATAATCTTACTGTATATTGTAATTATGTTTATCCTTTATTAGTAAATAATGTTTTTCAATAAATTTTCACTTAATTAAAAAGAGGAAGCTTGACTTTTTAACTTTATCATTAAACTGTACTAAAAGTCTGTATATTTTGCTTGTATTCACAGCCCCATGCAATCATTCGTCATACCATTAGATCTACAAACAGGAATGCCAGGGCTGAACGGACAGCTTCAGAAATAAACTGTATGTATTTAGTGTTTATTTTTAGTTGCTGTTTTTAGAGGGTTGAATTGGGTGTCCTTGTATTTTTTTTAATGAAATAATAAAATCTCAAATAATTGAGGCTGCATAGTTTAATATCAGAATAGCTGGAAATTGGGGATATATCTCTGAGTCAAATGATTTCATACACCCAATTCTCTGACAGTTTTAGTTGTATGACCGCTGACATTATAGAGGTGGAACTTGGGGGCAGTGTTTCCCAGATGTAAGGTGCTCAGTTTTTGATTCACTGAAAGACAGTGAGATGCGGAGGAAATTAAGGGAGGTGGGGAGAACACTTTAAGCTAGAAAAGCTTAAATTTCTGAAGGTTTAGCCATTTATCCTTTTTATTTTGCTTAAAGGCTGAGGGTAATAAACAACAAAGAGAACAAATTTTAGTATAAATGGAATCTTTCAGTTGATTTAGTTCAGATTTTAATTTTTCTTTAATCCTAGAGAAAATTTTCTCTAGAAATCAATTTCTCTATGAATTTTTTTTAATCTTAAATTTTCTTGGTTTGTAATTCTTGATACTGAAAAATGGTATTTGCTTTCTTTTCCTCCCTTAGGCCTTTTAACATTAATCTCTCGGCCTGCTTTTCAGTATTTCTAGTTTTGATAGAAATAAGCTTTTATCTCATTGCTGTTTCAGTAACGAAATGGTTCTTCGTGAGTTATAGTTTGGCTCTTATTGGCATTGCTTTAGATTGTGTTAAGAGAAGAAGTCACTAGTGACTGGTTATTGCTGTCAGAGCTGTCGAGTCAGTTCTGGCTCCTAGTGATGCTCTGTGCAGCAGAAGAAAACACTGCCCAGTCCTGTACCATCCTCAGAATTGTTGTTAGGGTTGAGCTCATTGTGCTAGCCACTGTGTCAGTCCATCTTTTTGAGGGTCTTTCTCGGTTTTGCTGAATTGTACTTTACTAAAACCTGCTATCTTTCCCCAGGGACTGGTCTCTCTTGATAACATATCCAAAGTGTGGGAGATCAGGTCTGACCATAAAGAACATCCTGGCTTACTTCCTCCAAGGCACATGTTTTGTTTTTCTGGCAAATGCCATATCCAGTATTCTTCCTCAACACCACAGTCCGAGGGCATCATTTCTTCTGCACACTTCCTATGCCTATGAGGCATTAAAAATAGCATGGCTTGGTTCAGGTGCACCTTAGTCCTCAAAGTGACACCTTTGCCTTTTGAACAAGGTGAAGAAGTCTTTTTCAGCACATTTGTGTTTTCCTGGTGAAAACTTCATTTAATTTCTTGACTACTGACTGCTTTCATAGGTATTGATTGTAGATCCAAGTAAAATGAAATCCTCACCTACTTCAGTCCATTCAGGGTGCTGTCCACTGGTCTAGATGTGAGGGATTTTGTTTTCCTTATGTTCAAGGATAATCCATAGTATAGTATTTTATCCTCATCGGTAAATGCTTCAAGTTCTCCATGCATTCAGCTAATAAAATTGGGTCGTTGGTGTATCACAGGTTGTAACTGAGTTTTCCTCCAATCCTGATGCCGCCTTCTTTATATAGTCCACTTTCTTGGATTATTTGCTCAGCATACCAATTAAATGTGGTGAAAGGATACAAACCTGATGGACACTTTTCCTGATTTTAAACCAGCAGTATCCCTTTGTTCTATTAGCATTACTGCCTCTTTGTCTATGTAAAGGTACAGCGTGAGCACTATTAAGTATTCTGGAACACTCCTTGGTAATGTTATCCATAATTTGTTCTAATTCACAGTCAGTAAAACACAGGTCAACATCGCTCTGGTATCCACTGCATTCAGCCAAGAGCTAGCTGACGTCAGCAAAGATCTCTCATTCCACATTGTCTTCTGAATCTGGCTGCTTTCTGTTAATGTTTTGCTAAAGCCATATTCAAATTATCTTCAGCAAAATTTTACTCGCGTGTGATACTAATGATATTGTTAGATAGTTTCCATAATCTTTTAGATTACCTTTCTTTGGATTGAGCACAAATAATGTATCTATACCAGTCAGTTGGATTGGTAGCTGTCTTACGAATTTCTTGACTTTAGTGACTTTGATTTATTGAAGTATCTCAATTGATATTCTATGAATTCCTTCAGACTTGGACTTCTTCCTTTAGTACCATCCATTCTTCATGATGTTCTACCTTGTGAAATGTTTAGTGACCACCAGTTATTCTTGGTACAGTGGCTCTGTGTGTTCCTTCCATCTTCTTTGAATGGTTTTCGCATCGTTCGGTGTTTTGCTCATAAAATCCTGCAGTATTGCAATTCAAGAGTTAATTTTTTTTCTGTTGTTCTCTCATCCTTAGATATGCTGAGTGTGTTCTCCCCTTTTAGTTTTCCAACACCAGTTTCCTTGCACATTTCATTATACTTGTCTCTGGAGCCTCCCGTTCAGCTCTTTTACTTCATCACTTATTCTATTCACTTCAGCTACTGTGTACTCATCAAATTTCAAAATCTCATCTAACATCCATTCTGGACTTTTCTTTTCTTCCTGTCTTTTTAAGGACTCTTTGCTTTCTTCATGTATAATATAATGTTCTTGTTGTCATCCTACAATCTTCTAGTCTCTTCTCATTAGCATTTAATGTGTCAAATCTGTTTTTCAGATTGTCTCTAAATTGAGAAAGGATTCACTGAAAGTTGTATGATAGTCCTTGTGGATTTCTTTCAATTTTCTTCAGCTTCAAGTTTTCTCCTGTTGGCCCCTCCCTGTGTTCTAATGAGTGGTATTTATTTACCTTCTCCGTCATCTGTATCCATAGGTGGAGATTTTATTCCTGTGCATGCATACATACATAAGATGCATGTATGGAGGTCTCAAAATAGTTGTGGAAAATGGAATGAAAAGATCTTGGAATTATTCCACATAATTTATGGAACCCCCATATGTATCTGCAAAGTGCAATAAAATGAAGTATGCCTGGCTACCTCCACCACCACCCCCCAAAAAATTAAGTAGAGTTGTTTGTAAGGTCCCAAGTGTGTTACTCTATTTTGGTAAGCAGTAAAAAGAGGGACTTAAGACATTTCACCTTTTCTTGGTTCCTCTTTTTTCTTTACACCCCTCCCTGTAGGGTACACGTATTTCTCTTTACATTTCTGAGATTAACCCCTCATAGTATATTTTAAAATTTGTGTTCTGTATTTTTCAGTTGACAAATTACAATTTGAACCTCCTCTGAGAAAAGAAACAGAGGCACGGGATGAAATGGTAAGAATAATGACTTCTAAAATAGTTTTCTAAAACTTAAAATTTAAATTACTTTAGGAAAAACATATAGTGCTTTGACTAGTATACAAAGTAATATAATCTTTGAGGCATTAATGTTGACCCTTTCCTGAGTCTGGAAAAATTTACATAAAGTTAAATGTGGAATTTGATGTTTTTGCTTGCGCTCGCAGGTCCTTTGTTCTTAACAATCTGTTAGGTCTGTACTAGATTCTACGTTTTTGCATCGCCTTACTTTTTTGTTGTTAACCTGTTTTTAAAGCATTTATCTCATTTGTTAACACTGCTTTATTTGTTTACCATCGCTCTTAGTCTGAGGTCACTGTTTAGTAGGTGCTTTCCTGACTTAGAAAGAAAGATAGATGCACCGTCCTCAGTAAACTATGTGTACTTGAATGTGGTATCTTTTTCCTTTGTTTTTAAATAATAGGTTTCTATGAGTAGTGTTTCATTTTTAAACATAATTTTGACAGATCATTTACTATTATATTACTGTTATATTTTGCTTAGTAGTATTTTGCTGTGTTTATTGTATACTGCTTTTTGACATCATCTTAATGTCTCATTTATGTTTAAACTTAACTGAAAGCATAGTTTCTAGAGTGATTATTTTCTGTTAGGAGCTATTCATTCTTGATATTTGGGGTTCATGTTTTTAATATATATGTGACTGCATTAAAAAATCCCGTAACTTCTAGTAGGAAAAAGTTGTAGCACCATTACATTAATGTTACATTAATGTTAAAATTTAACAGGAAAATATTTAGTCCTTCCTACTCATCTTTTTTGTTTTGGAATACTGCTAGCATATTGGTAAAAAGACTTGTCACATTTGACACTATATTTTGTATGTTTATGGATTTAAAGTCACCTAATAGTCATTGACCAAAATATGTCAAATGATTTAGTGCCAAGATGATTACAGTCATAGTATTTTATTGAATCAAATAAAAATTATTAGTAACCGCTACAAGGTAACATTTTAAACTTTTTTATCATCACAGGGAGTATCGTCAGACCCAAACTTCGTACTACAGTGGAATCCTTTTGTTGATGGTGCAAATACTGGCAAGTAAGTTACTTTCCAACTTAAGAATAGTATTTCACCTGATTTCATAGAATACTTTTGGGGGGTGGGGGTGATTTATTATAATAAACTTTCATTTATAATCTTTACAGTATTGTGCTGTGCCTTTCGTCCATGTAAAACTTCTGGCTTCTGTTATGCCAAATAATCATGTACTGATCATTAAGGTTATTTATTTTCTTTAAAACCATCATACATTATGGATTGGAGTAAAAAACTCAATTCCATTTCTCCAGTGTATCTCTAGAACTTCTTACTTCCTATCTCTAGCAATGTCTTCCCCAGTAACTGAGAGGACTGGTGTAGATAAGTTGTTCAAATCATTTTTTGCATTGGAGTTGTCTAGAGGGTTCTTTATAGATAGAAATCCTGGGTTTTGTGTTAGACATTTGGAATCCAGGTTAGCAAACTACTACTTCCGGATCAAATACAGCTTGCTACCTAATTTCATAGCTTGCAAGCTAAGAATAGTGTTTACATTTTTTTTAATACTTGAAAAAAAATCAAAGGATAATAATATTTTGTGACATGAAAATCATGTGGAATTCAAATTTCAGCTATTGTACCCATAAAGGTTCATTAAAACATGGTATGTTAAGGGATTTTTTTGTGTGTATTATCTATTGCTGCATCACATTACAACAGAGTAAAGTAGTTACAGCCTTCCCTGTGTGGCTTCAAAACCTACAATGTTGATTATAGAACCATTTATACTGTAGCCCCTGCTACAGAATAGATTGTGGGACCAGAGGGCCAAATCATTCAAACTAAATCCATTTCCATCAAGTTAGCATCGGTCGACTCTCAACTCAGAACAGCCTTATATAAGAGAGCGTTAAAAAAAAAACCCTGGGGGTTTCCCAGGTGATAATCTTTACAGAAGTTGAATGCCACTTTTTTCTCCCATGATGCAAATGGTGAGTTCAAACCACTGACTTTTCAGTTAGAAACCAAGCACTTAACAACCGTGCCACCAGGCTTCCTTGATTACCAGATCAGTCCTTCTCAAAGGGCAGGACTGTTGATTACCTGGAGATCTTATTAAAATGTAGATTCTCACTCAGTAAGTCTAAAAGTTGCATTTATAAAAGTTCCCAGACAATGCCAGTGTTGCTGGTGTAAGGACGATACTTTGTTGAGTAGCATAGGGTTTGATAGTCTTTAGGGCATTTAGTTGCTGTGATTCCCTCCAGATACCTACTCTATAAAATTCTGAATCTACTTTTTACTAGTAAAAAAAGTAACCCCAAATCCACTGCCTTCTGGTTAATTCCACCTCATAGTGACCCTATACAGGATTTCCAAAGTTCGAAATCTCTATGGGTATAGACAGCCTCATCTTTCTCCCATGGAAGAGCTGGCCATTTTGAACCTCCAACCTTGAGCACAGCCATCCAACACTTACCTGACAGCACTTTTATACTCTTTACCCTGATCTATTTGTTGTTGTTTTTTCTTAATGTCCTTTAAATATAAATAGATTTTTTTTCTTTTTAAAAAAATATAGATTTTAATGTGCATTTAAGTCTCCTTGTGTTTTATGTTATGGTTATTTATCACCATCTAAATTCCATTATTTTCTCTTATTAGATCAACCTCAAAACGTGCAGTACCACCTCCCCTACCTCCTAAGGTGAGCTACTTATGGATTTGCCATTTTCCAGATAGTGTAATTATTTTTGTTCAGATTTCTCTTAAATACATTTTAGATGAATACAGTTGTCTTCTGGTGGCGAATACAAAAATGTAGAAGTATTAAAGTACTTTTTCTGTCTTATTGTCAATAGCCAAGGATGAACATTTACCCTGAAGATAACTTCCCAGATGAAGAAAAATCATCAACCATAAAATGTTGTCCAGATTCAGAGAGCAGAGCTCCCCAGCTTCTCAGAAGACAAAGCAGCCCAAGCTGTGGTCTTGCAGTGGAGCCGTCCTCGATTGGTAGGGCTGCCAGTGGCCGCAGTCCTGGAGTGCACACAGCTAGATACTGTGACGTGGGTAAATAAAACACAGTGACATTGACCAGAAAGTCAATTTGTACCTATGTAAGAAATCTCTCCCTTTTTTAGTCTTAGGTACCGTAGAAGTTTTTGTGGAGGGTCTTTAATTTCAACCAAGTGGGATAGAAATAGATTCAGTGTAAAATTCAACCCTAAAAAATATATATATAAAATAAAAATCAACCCTGAATTTGACACCTTTCTAAAAATAGAGGATCTAGAAAGTGGATGGATATTCTTGCTGTCAAGAACTTCAGAATCTATTGCATGAATATACCCATGTACACATAACATTAGACAAGACAGCTTGTTTCCAACAGCAATTAATTATGTGGAATAGAAAACCAGAGGTTTCTGAGGAAGGTAGGATAGAGAAAGACTAGAGGAAATGGGTTTCTTGCAGACTTTTAATGGGCTTGGGCAGCTTTTCATAAATGGAGCCAATTATGAAAGGCACTGTAGGAGAACAAGACAGAATAAGTAAATATATTAAAAGCAGAAAAATCTGAGTTGTGTTTGAAGTAGTCTGTAGTCTGGTATGGCAAAGTGTGAGTTTTTGAAATTCACAGTGACTATACAATAGGTCCCTGGTGGTGTAATGGTTATGTGTTGGTCTGCAATCTGCATGGTCGGCAGTTCAAAACTACCAGCAGCCCCACCAGAGAAAGACTGGGTTTTCTACTCCTGTAAACAGTTACAAGCTCAGGTACTCACAGGGGTTGCTCTAAGTCAGCCTTGACTAGAGGCAGCGAGTGTACAATAGGTCAGGTCTTGTACCCTAATTTGAATATACTGGTTCACATTTGTAGAATGACGTATAATTATAAAATACGCTGAGTATCAGTAGATCATAGTTCATGTTTCTCACAATATTTATTGAAAAGACACTTGTTTTAATTTATCCAGACCACTGCTTAATAGTACCTCTAAACCACTATGCCACCAGCTCCCTATAGAAAGACGACAAAAATAAATGAACTCTTCTTGTGTGCTCTCAATGAGCCATCACCCAAGAGGAAGCAAATAATGGGGGAAATTAATTTTTCAAGAAAAATATATATTTATGTGGTCTTTAACTGGGAACATTATCCTCTGTAGGAAATGGTGATGGCATTTCAAAACTGATGAGTGAAAATACAGAAGGATCGGCACAAGCACCACAGTTACCACGAAAAAAGGACAAACGAGATTTTCCTGTAGGTATAATGGGCATTTAGTAATTAGTTGTAACTATTTCTATATTTATCATGTAATGGGGATAATCTGTTTAATTTAGGAATTTGAATAATTGTATTTCTAAATGTGTTGAGCTTTTGTTTTAAGGCTTAGGATATTTTACAGCATTAAAAATTTTTTTCCCAACAGAAACCTGTCATCAATGGCCTTCCCCCCACCCCAAAAGTACTGGTAAGGTATATTTGGATGTGAACCATTTGCCACTTTTCTCTTGAGAAACTTCATAAAGTTTGGGTTTTTTACTATTTAGCATGTTAGGCCACTTAAACCTAAGGTGTCATAAAGTACTAGCAGGAGCAGAACGTTGTTTTATAATATAAGGCATTTGGATATCCAATGGGTTAGGTCATATACTTAATTTAAAGAATGTTTTACTTTTTTAAAAATGGCAGTTAGGTTCCCAAATTAGCCACAAAGACCAACTTAATTTTAATATGATGATAATAATACTGTGGTATTTTATTATGTGGGTTAAATATCTCTCTACCCATGAAGCCATTTTCTCATTGGACTTTACATAATGGAAAAGGGCAGGATGATAAGACTTTCAGCCAATCTTGGGAATAGGGTACCTTGCAAATTATATCTTTAATTCATGTAACCCACTGCATGTAAGTTCATTTAATTCATGTAACCCAATGCATATAAGTCTAATATATATTATATTACAGTTAGTCTTTTGATCTCTTATCACTTGTGGAGTTTATACCATGATTATAATCACTGTAATATTGTATAAAATCATGTTATATATTAATTTCATATTAATATATGTTATATTAATATATGCTAGTCTACTGAAAAGTAGGAATTTTTAAAACCTAGATGTATCATTAACATATGTAGATGTTTTGGTGTATTTGTTATTTTTTTTACCCATAGTAGTGCTCTACCAAAGGAAAGAATATGAGACTTCCTTGATTGAAGGGATTAAATTATATCAAAATATTTATTTTGGGATGACACCACAAATATATGTTTAAAAGTTTGATATTTTGTTATCTTATAATATATAAAATTAAGAAAAATAAGCGAATATTTCTCTCTTCATATAAGATGGGAGCATGTTTTTCAAAAGTTTTTGATGGCTGCCCTTTGAAAATTAACTGTGCAACATCCTGGATACATCCTGATACAAAAGGTAACATTGGTAAACTTGTATGTACATCTCCACTGAAATCTTTATTATGTGAAAGGATCTTTATGGTCAGGGAGATGAGATTGTTTATTTTTCAAATAGTGACTTTTGAGATTAAATGTGCAGGTATTTACAGCAACTTAAACATATATAGGGCTTTGACTTAAGGACATTAGAATTTAAATTATTTAATGACTGATTAAGGGAGACTACATAAAGATCATAAGTGATCACAATCATAATTTTGGATACATATTTTTTTAATTTGGGACATTCTTATACCATTAAAAGGACTATTTGTGCACATAACAAAAACATTGTTGAGAATGAGGGGGGCTGGAGCGGAGATCCAAAGCCCATCTGTAGACAGTGGAACAATCTCCCCACAGAGGGCCCACAGGGAGGGAATTAGTCACCAGGGCGCAATAAAGCATCGATGAAGCACACTATATTCCTCTGGGTCCTTGAGGCTTCCTCACCCCCCACTACCATGACCCCAGTGCTGCTTCTAGTTCAGACTAGCCCAGGACATGTACACAGGTATAGAAAGGGATGGGAGCTCACGACACGTAGAATCCAGGAACAGGAGGGGGAAATAGTGATACCAGTAGGGTAGGGGAAGAGAGGAAGAGGAAGGGTTGCTAATTACATGGTTGACATTTCAAACCCACCAGCCACTCCATAGGAGAAACAATTCTACTCTGTTCTGCAGGGTCAATATGAGGCAGAATTGACTCGTGGGACTGGTTATGCAATCCTCCCCACCCCCCCTTCTTAAGGAAATACACACTGAAATATTAAAAATCTTTGGGGCATCATTGCCTATAATTTAAAATAAACTCAGAAAAAAATGTGGAAAAAGGATGAAACAAAACTAGTCAATATCAATATTTGTGATACCTGTTTTAATGATATTTAGGAATTCTTTTTACTTTTGCAATCTTTATGTAAGTCTTAAATTATCCCAAAATAACATTTATCTTTAATACCTAGACTTAATAATGTTAAAGGGGTGGGGGGAGCATGGGCACAGGCGAAATTTTTGTATCAAATAAATCTAGGTTAAATTCCAGTCTGTCATTACTATGTGTCTTGGAAAACATACTGAAAACCTCAATGTGATCATTTGTAACATGAGTAGTCTTAGTATTGACCTTGTTGCAAAGAAGAAAGGAGCTTGGGTATCCAACAATTAGCAGAAAAGTGTGTGTTTGGCCACAGAGAATGTTCAGGAAATATTTGTTTCCCTTTTGGCAGAATAATAAATATACAGGACAAAGTGTTCTAAATGTCCCTAATAGAAAATATAAACAGGAAAAAAATAATTTAAAGTAAGATGTTTGTTTAATTCTTTTAACTTTTCATTTTTATATCATTTCAAACTGACAGAAAAGTTACAAAAATAATTCAAGGAACTCCCATCTACCTTCTCTCTGATTCACCAATTATTTTTACTATGCTCCATTTTTAGAAATCATTATCTGTGTGCATTTTTTTTGAATCATGGGAAAGTAAATTCAAGACATCATATTCTTCCCTTTATTTCTCAGGTTTAAGAATTCCCTTACATAAGCACCCACAGTACATTTATAAAGATTAGAATAATTAACATTAATGTAATACGATTTCCTAATCCACAGTCTTTATTCAAATGTTGTAATTGTTCCCAAATATCCTGTATCGTCTCCCCAAGCCTTTCCCTCAGTTTATCATCCAATGGAATGTCTCAGGTTGCTTTCGCTCCCCTGTCTCTTTAAATCTCCTTTAAGCTGAAGAGATATTCCTCAAACTTTACTTGTCTGTCTTGAGCTTGGCATCTGTGACATCATATATTGTTGTTATAATCGCTCCCAATCTGGGTTTGCCTGAGGTGTTCTCAGTTGGCTCAGCTGGTGTTCACTAGCTTTCTCCACTATAGTTACTGTTTTTCCCTTTCTACTTAATAAGTAATTCCTGTGGCAATAGATTGGGGTTATATACTGTATATATTCATGTATAAGCCAAGTTTTTCAGCACATTTTAAATGCAGTCTTTGTGGTAAAATTAGGTGCCTCAGCTGATATCTGGGTTGGCTTATATTTGAGTATATACGGTAAATATTTTCTTGCGCATCAAACTTTTACCCATTAGTTTTAGCATCCACTGGCAATTTTTAAGTCCATATTTGTTCCTATATGTATTAAAGGAAGACTTTATGTTCTCATTTATTCACTTATGTATTTTTATATATTTGACTTTATTGATTTATTCTATTCAATGATATATAAGCCACTACTATTATTATTAATTTTGATGCATTAGTTGATCCAGATATTTTGGCCAATGAAATCTGTCTGCTCTGTTTTTGCCCTTTTTTAGCATTTCCCTATGTTCTGGCCTGAGATTTCTAGGCTTGTCTTGGGCTTCCTTGCCCCAGAATTGGGGTTATTCTTATCTTCAAGAAACCCTGGTTCCTTTGAAAAGAAATGGTCCTGTAAACTTTTGAAGTCCCCCTTCCCACCTCCTTGTAGTAATTAGAAGCCAAGATCTGAATAGATGTGGTCTTTGTTACTGGTGGTGTCATGATTTATCATTTATGTTTAGTAACAATTTCCTTCTTCAGATGAGCATTTGAGATGTGAAAAATGCACACTGTAATAAAAATGTTATATTGAAAGAGTAGGATTGTATGAGAAGATAAAATGAGTTTGAACTAATAGAAAAAGCCTGCTTTTAAAAGTTAGAATTGGGGAAAGAGGTAAAGAGCAGCATGCGTTTTAGAAAATAATTTTTCATTGGATGAGTGTTAGGTAACTATTTCTTAATAGCATTAATGCCCCTGTTTTAGTGAGCTATTTCAGGAAATAATAGTAAAGTAACTTATCTTAACTGTTTTAGACCAGTACATAATTTTTGGAACTGAAGATGGCATTTACACATTGAATCTCAACGAACTACATGAGGCAACCATGGAACAGGTAAGTAAGAGTTTTAATTCAAGAAATTAGTTTAGACAAATAGTATTAAAAACACATCTTAATTGTACATGGTCCTAGTTACAATTGTTATGATTTTAGCATTTCAAGGGGTAAAATTTTATTCATTTCATATTGAAAGATACTTTTTCTAAGGTCTTGGTTATGTACTTAAAGATAAAAAATAGTTCTTTGCGTGTTATTTCAGAATGTTGGAGTTTGGAGGTTAAGGAATGAAACGATGATTGGAGGGTTCTAATTCTCTCCTTTTTTCCTTAGTTATTTCCAAGAAAATGTACTTGGCTGTATGTTATCAATAATACTTTAATGTCATTATCAGGTATGTATATTATAATTAAAGATAAAGTATAGAGAAACAAATGTAACTTTCATATGCACTATTTTAAAATGTTATTTGTGATTCTGGGTAATTGTAATCTAGTATAGGAGCTGTGTCAGCCTGGCTTGACTAAAAACAAATCCAGAGACACTCATATGTGGATAAAAAAGAGCTTTATATACAAGAGCAATTGAATATTGAGAAAACATCCCAGCCCAGATCAAGTCCATAAGTCTGATATTAGCCCATATCATATGTCTTGATACTAGTTTAAGTTCCTCTTCAGACTCATGCAACACATGCAATGACGCCGAATACAGGAAGATCACAGGCCAGTGGGTGGAAAGTCTTGTGGATCCAGTGGTGGTGGAAGCATCTTAGTGGTGGCATGGATCTCCAAGTGGCTCCTCCAGCTCAAAGGTTCTGGCTCCATCAATGTGTCTCCATGTGCCTCTTTGTCATTAATGTCTCAAAAGCAGTGAGCCTGTGTTCTGCCTCCAGTGAGCTATCTATCTTCTTAGCACCTCCAAATGAGGTCATCAAACTGTGGCCTGATTGACAGGCTAAACTCCACCCCTCACTCGTCTCAAATTGACAACAGATTATATAACTACCACAGGAGCCCTAGTGACACTGTAGGTTAGGCATTGCGCAGCTATCCTTAAAGTTAGGGTTCAAAACCACTAACCCTCCTCAGGAGGAAAATGGGGTCATTTGTTCCCAGAAACCTACATAGTGTTGATATGAACAGGACTCTACTCAGAGGCAGTGGGTTTGGTTTGTTTTAGGGGTAAGGATCTAGTGTAGGAACTTTGGGACTTCAGGTGTTTCTATCAATTTTAGAGCAGAAGAAACCTTGAGAATGGGCCCCATGTTTAATTAGGGTAGCACTTCCCAAACACAGTCAGCATCTCTATACTGTGGACCAACCCAGTGATTATCACTTGGAGCCATCACCTTTTGCTTTGATTCTTCCACCACCACTACTACCACTCCAGGCCTTCCTTGAGCATTACTGGTTAAGGGAAAGAAACACATGATCAGCTGCTTCCTTTCTATGTTGTTTTGAAAAACTTATTTACCTTCTTAATGCCTTCATTGTTTAATTGTAAGGCAAGGATGATAGTGATAACAACCTTGACAGGTTGTTGTGCAGATTGAATGAGATTATAGACAAAATGCTTATTACTAAACTGTCAAGTAGGATACAAGTATCTGCTAGTGGAATTCATACTGTTCTGGACCCCATGTTAACCATCTTAGATTGATGCTTTAAAGTGAATTTAAATTTTAAAAGAGTGAATTCCAGAATAGCCTATTAGAGTTTTATAGCCTGTTTCTTTGTTTGGTTGTGGTGGTTGGTTGAGAGGGAGGGGGTTAGACTGTTTTGTTTTTAGTTCTTAACTACCAAGAAATATTTGCTTGTGTTTTAGATTTCAGTGACTACCTACAGATGTGCTATTTGCTATTGTTTAGAAAATAGAGTGCAATGAGTCTGTTACTATTTCTCTACTCCTTAATAAATGCTTATACTATCAGCTATTAAAATAGCACATATCCATTTATCCTCTTAAATGATTATTTTAGGAGTTTTCTTGCCCCCCATTTTTTGTGTGGTGCCCTCTAGGCAGAATGAACAATCCACAGGTAAAAAACAACAGGACTGAGGGTTCCGGGGGACACGGCAGAGGAGGAACAGGGGAAAGGAAGGGGGTGCCAACAACACAGAGACAAGGGAACAACAAATGATCTAAAATTGATGGCAAGGAGGGTGTAGGAGGCCTGGTAGGGCTTGATCAACGGCAGTGTAACCAAGAGGAATTACTGAAACCTGAATGAAGGCTTAACCATGTTAGTGGGACAAGAGGAACGTAAAAGGAATTAGAGGAAAGAACTAGGAGGCAAAGGGCATTTATAAGTCTAAATATAGGCATGTATATATGTAAATATATTTACATATAACAATAGGGAAATCTATGTACATCTATTTATATGTTTAGTATTAAGGTAGAGACGAGCCTTGGGCCTCTTCAAGTCCTCACTCAACAGAAATACTTTGTTCTAATAACCTGGCATTCCATGATGCTTACCTTCCCAACACAATTGCTGAAGACAAAAATGGGTGCATAAACAAATGTGGTAAAGAAAGCTGATGGTGCAAGGCTATCAAAAGAGATAGGATCTGGGGTCTTAAAGGCTTGAAGATAAACAAGCAGCCTTCTAGCTAAGAAGCAACAAAGCCCACGTGTGGGGGAATGCCAGCCCCCCACAACTAATCAGGGGTTCAGTAAGTGCAATTGTATGGTTAAGATATATAAAGATTATAATAAAGTCATAGGGAAATAGGAGAGAGAGTAAAATGAAAGAGACACATCTCATGGTAACACGCTCACCTCCTGGACGGCCATGATCTCAACAGCCAGGTCCGCGCACAGCACAGGCAGAGAGGGCAGGAGAGAAAGCGATTTATTACTAACCAAGGCTTTTTTATCTTTGGGGGTGTGCATGCCTCCTAATTACAGGTAAAGACATATGTCACAGGAAGGGGTTGTACAATAGGGGTAAGCATAACAGGAAGGGAATAAGCTGGGGGTGTACATGCTATAGGAAGAGGAGGGACTAGGGGTATACATGTGACAAGAAAGACGTACCCTAGACTCAATATGGCAGCCTAACCTTGGTCACCCTTGAGTGGGTTTGACCTCCCTGGCTCTCCTTCAAGGAAACAATCCACTACTATCCTTGTAAGAAGGGAGTGGACCCTTCTTAGGGTGGGACAGACTATACAGTCTGATTGCTCTAGACTACTGATAACCCTTAGGGAGAATAACCTCTGACCTAATTTCGTTGACCTCCAACTGTATAGGCATTTACCATGTGTATCAAGCAGTTAAGTTTGGCATTTTTGGGGGGAGACAACTTGAGAGAAATCTTTCTGTATCCCACATATATGGAAGAAGTACACCAGCCTGTATGATCATGAGGTGTCAGTGGGATCAGGTATCAGGCATCAAAGATCCAGAACAAAAAATCATGAATGAGGGGGAGTAGGGGTGTGGACCCAAAGCCCATCTGTAGGCAACTGGACATCCCCTTTACAGAAGGGTCGCGTGGAGGATACGAGCCAGTCTGGGTACAGTATAGCACTATTGAAACATACAACTTTCCTCTAGTTCTTTAATGCTTCCTCCCCCACTCCCCCACTACCATGACCCCAGTTCTACCTTACAAATCCAGCTAGATCAGAGCATGTACATGGGTACAAATAAGAGCTGAAAACACAGGGAATCCAGGACAGATAATCCCCTCAGGACCAATAATGAGAGGATCAATACCATGAGAGTAGGGGGAAGGTGGGGGAAGAAAGGAGGAACCAATCACAATAATATATATATTATTATTGTATTATTATTATATATTATTATTAATAATAAAAATATATATGTCTATATATAACCCCCTCCCAGGGGGACAGACAACAGAGAAGTGGCTGAAGAGAGATCAGTCAATGTAAGACATGAAAAAATAATAATTTATAAATTATCAAGGACTCGTGGGGGAAGGAGGGAAAAAAATAAGCTGATACCAAGGGCTCAAGTAGAAAGAAAATGTTTTGCAAATGATGATGGCAATAAATGTACAATGTGCTTGACACAATGAAGGTATTATGAATTGTGATAATAAAAGATGATTTTTAAAATGACTGTTTTCCTTAATTTTTTGTGTATGTGCATATGAATAACTTTAATTCTTCCCCTAGCCACTATCTGGTAGATATTCTGGCTGATGATAGTTTTTATAAAGAGAAATTTTTGCCATGAAGCCAGAAATTGTGTCTGGCTTCCATTACTGATAATTGTCATAAAAAATTCTATCGATAGATCCTGATCACATGGGAAAAGTGCAGAGCAGAATTTCAAATTCACATGAGCCATGAAGTTTGCATGAACACCCGAGACTATTGCCTTGAAATAATTTTTAAGCCTTAAACCAAATTGATTCCCTGAAGTCTCAGGCTAGGATAAGTGACAGTATGTAAGGGGATTGCAGTGGATGAGTTGAAACTAAATATGTAAGAACAGTTGAAAGTAAAACTAATGATATGTTTTGTAAACTTTTACCTAATTCACAGAAAGTTTGTGGTTTTGCTTTTTAAATCAAAAGTAGTAGTTTTAACTTAACTAGTAAAAAATATGTGCCCTGAGCTTGATGCTCTCAAGGATTTCTCTATATGAGATTAAAGTGACAACAGCTACTGGAGTGATAGGAACCTTAGAAGGCAGGCAGGCAGGCAGTGTTGATGCGGGAGGGAAGAAAGGCAGGCAGCTTCACTGAATTGTGGGTAGAGAAGCTGTTGAATTGGTATATGTTGTTCTGTATATTTGTGCTCACTAATAAATTTCAAAACTTTTGAAATTTTGTATAACTGTTAACTATACAAAAAATATTCGATTGTATATAAATGACTTCTAAAAAATGAGGATGCTCAAAAAATATTTGACTTTTTGATTTTTAGTATGTTTTCCCTAGATTTTTTATTTTGATTAGCTTAAATCTAGTTCTATTAAATAACCTTGAAATGTACACAGGGGAAAAAACACTTTAAAAAGGACACACTTAAACACACACACACAGAGTACATGTTATATTTTTATAAATAACTATAGGAAAAGTTAGCCTGTGGATGAGTTCTTTCTGTACTCTTGTTAAAATGGGGGAAAGTAAGGAACACAGTTCAATTGAAAACTCTGTTTTCCTTAAAGGAGAGAGAAAGAGTGTGTGTGTGTGAGGTGTGCACAATGTGTTAGTATGCAAGCAATCTATGTATATAGGGGAATGAGGGAGAAAAGGAACCCTGGTGGCGGTAGTGGTTATGCATTGGGCTGCAATCTGCTTGGTCAACAGTTCTAAACCAAGAGCAGCTCCTCCATGGAAAGACTCCTGTAAACAGTTACAGGCTCAGAAACCCACAGGTTTTGGTTTCCACTAGTGAACATTTATATTGTCATTTATAAGCTGCACGTCAGCATTACCCTCTATGGCAATGAGTTTGGTTTGAGAGAAAGGATGGCACAATACTGGAATGTATGTAGCCTGAGGAAACAGAATCTTGTTGAGAATAAGACACTACATGTATATGTTTTCTAATATGTTTTTGTGTTGTTAGATTACTGTACCATATTAAAAAGGATTCAGAAAATATATACCATATCTTCCCCTGCTTAACATGGCTGTATTTTTTATTACAACTGTTGTTCACTTAACAACTTTCTTGTTATTCAGCATTTTTCTTTTACAACCCTAGTAAAACAATATGACTATTCTGCACATTAATTACATATCTGGCCAGGATATGAGGCAAGCATAATGCTAGCTGTGATGGTTAAGGTTATTTGTCATCTTGGTTAGGCTATGATTCTCCATGGTTGGCAGATGTACAATGATGAAATTTGACAGTGATGTAATATTATAATCAGCCTCCATTTTAACATAGTGCTGTATTTTGCTTGATGACATAGTCTTTGGACCCTAACCATGTCAATAAGTGAGGAGTCAATATACATAAAAGTGTAGCCTGATTATGCTTGTATTGTGACTTATAGGCTTGTCTTCATTTTCTTGTAGTTTTTTACATTTAAGACTTGGTTCATAAAGACATGTGCATCATTGCATAACTTTCATGACAGATTTTGTACATAATATTTAAGTTTCTCCTTCTGTGCTAGTTTTATTAAGATTTACATAAGATCTGGCCAGAAAATTTGTTATAGTCCAAATTTGTGTTTTATTAAAAAAAATTATCTACTCTTTAAAAATCATTTTACTTATCTTTCAAAATAGTATTAACTGGGTTTTTTTGTATGTGTTTTTCTACTTTGCTTGGCTTTTGAACATTTCTGGACTCCTCATTTTAGAAGGTAATTATGTTTTCTCTTACTTGAAAATTGTACTTTTCTGTCATAAATAATTCTAATAAAAATAATACCTTTCTTTTTGTAGGAAAAACCTTTCAACTCCACTCTCATAATCTTATAGCTTTGTTTGAACAAGCCAGAAAACCAGGATTAGCTGCCCATATTCAAACTCACAGGTTTCCAGATCGCATATTACCAAGGTAAAAAGAACATTATGATTCTACTGGGAACAAGGGGAATTAGTGTTCATTTTGAAATATGTCAGGATATATCCATATAAAAAAGTGGTGTTACTAAACTTGACTGTCCATAGGCATCACCTTAAAACACAGACTTCTAGGCCTTACCGGAGTCCTGTCTAATCATATCCTCAGCATTCAGAGCCCAAGACTGATACTTTTTAAAGCCCTTTGGGTGATTCTGACACAACTGCTTCACAGATGGCTATTTGGGAACCACTAGAGAACATTTATATTGTCTTGTGTTTTCAGAAAATTTGCTCTTACAACAAAGATTCCTGATACAAAAGGCTGCCATAAATGTTGCATAGGTGAGTCAACGGTATTTATGAAACTGTAGTTAGAACTTCTGATAACTTTAAAATTATGTGAAGCATCTTGTAGAACTAAACAGGGTACAGTTTTGTTTTTGTTTTGTTTTTTTCATTTGTTTATAGTAAGGTGTTAACCCTTTGGTGGCCCATGGGGCATATATTGCCCACCAACATTTTCATCCTCTCAAGGTTTCTTGGGGAACTCCTATCCCAGCTGTAGTACATGCTACCACATGGTAGGGACCTGTATAAGGGCATGAATTTGGAGAAATGAACCTCCCCAACAGTCCTACTATCTTCACTTGGGACACAGATGTCCCACATAATTATATCAAAATTCTTACTATCTCAAAATAATGTTTTCCCCTTGATTTCAGCATGCCTTCTGTTATAGTGAATATATGGTATCAACAAAAAATTCAAAGAAAGTAATTCAGCCATGAAGGGGGTAAGGCGCCAAGGGAGCACAAGAATATGTAGAGGGAGGAATAGTATATTTAATGTTTACTCAGAGCGTATCTTTGCTAAGGCTTTTTAACCATAGCCACAGAGGGTGTATTGCTACCAGTATCCTGACTTTCGTTATTCAAACCCAGTGGTGCTGAGGCGTGGGGAGGGGGGGGGGGAGTCGGATGCTCTCAAGTCGATTCCATCCATAGCACCCCAGGGTGACAGAGTAGAGTTGCTCTATAGCAGCGGTTCTCAACCTGTGGGTCCCGACTCCTTTGGGGGTCGCACGACCCTTTCACAGGGGTCACCCAATTCATAACAGTAGCAAAATTACAGTTATGAAGTAGCAAAGAAAATAATTTTATGGTTGGGTGTCACCACCACCTGAAGAAGGGTCGCGGCCTGAAGAAGGTGGAGAAGCACTGTTCTGTAGAGTTCCCCAGGCTAGGATCCTTTCTAGATGCAGATTCTAGGTCTTGTCTCTCTCCAGATGTACTTGTCAGCTGGAATTGCCTGCCCTTGAGTTAGCCACCAAGCACTCAGCCATTGCCGCCAGTGCTCCGTATTCAGCCCTACTTAAAGGGCTCGGGAACATTGTCTGGTCTAATTTGGCCTTCAAAACAGCCTATCATACTTGTCATAGTGCTGTGACATAATATGAAGTCAGACCCACGAAACATTTAATCATGTACTCCTAAAATTGCAATCAAATTTTATGAGCATTTTTCTAGGAAGAAATCTTCTAACTGTTTTCTGTCTGTTAACCAATTTCCAAGATCTGTGATGCAAAAAAGTCATGTTTATAGTCTAAGATATGAACTCATAAACTATTAATCTTATAATCACTATGTATTCTTTTCAGTCTTTGGCAAGTTGGAGAAAGGAAAGACCAAAATGAGTTTTTATAAATTTAAGTCAAAGAAGTTTTATCTTTAGTAAGTGTAAAGTAATTGATTATTTCTAGCTTATCTTTAAGTAGATATATTAAAAATGAGATTGTCGGTTTCAATTACCTCATAGACCTTGTTAGGATTCGTTCTTACAGTCAAATTACTCAAGAAGCAGCTTCTTTAAGGTATTTTTAGTGTTTAAAGTATTGTTTGTGTGAAAAGTTCTTGTGTTTAAGAGTAGTTAATTATGTAAAAGTTTTTAGAAATGTATGTAAATATGCAGGTTAATAAGGAAAAGATACAAAGCCCCAAGGAAAAAAGGCATCGTTTCCCCTTTATTTTCTGTTCACCCATCCTAGTAAAAGGAAACAATATTTTTCCCACATCAGGTAAATAATAACTTCAAATAGTTTCTTCTTCTATCTAACCATTTTTAACCAATATTTTGGTATTGATATCAGGTCACATTTCTTTTCTCTCGTCAACACTTTTTAAAGAATAGTAGGTTAGCTTTTAGATGAGTTTAGCTCAGTTATTGCTTTTAACTTGTTGTGTTTTGAATATAAAAATATTCAATGTGTTGGGTCTGTGTGCTTGTTTGTTTTCTTTCCAGTCAGAAACCCTTACACGGGACATAAATACCTCTGTGGAGCTTTACAGTCTGGAATTGTTTTACTGCAGTGGTATGAGCCCATGCAGAAATTCATGTTGATAAAGGTATATATGCTCGGGCTTATACTTTCTTTGTTAGAAAACACGAGTCTCTAGCTGAAGCTAAGATGACAAGATCCTGCTGTGTTATCTAAGGTCAGCACATTAACAGTTACTTATAATGATAGTTACTGTAGGTACTTGTTTGAATTGGGTGGGGGTTTTCTGGTTGTTACTTTGCTTAGAGTTTTTTTGAGAGTTCCTTTTAATAAAGTTGTTGGAAGCAATACAACCCTAAAGATAATATGGCTAGTTTTCTAAAACACTCACCCTTATCATTATTTATGTTAAAGATATTCCTTTTCAGAATTGGATACATTTAAAAAGTGGAAGCCTTTCTAAGTTAATTTTATTCAAACATTCTGTGAAGGGGGAGATTGTACCTAAATTAACATTCTGTCGCTTGTTGTTTGCAGCATTTTGATTTTCCTTTGCCAAGTCCTTTGAATGTGTTTGAAATGCTGGTGATACCAGAGCAGGAATATCCCATGGTCTGTGTAGCTATTAGCAAAGGCACGGAATCGAATCAGGTGGTACAGTTTGAGACAATCAACTTAAACTCTGCATCATCGTGGTTTACTGAAATTGGTGCAGGTAAGTTTCTTACCTTTGGTTAGTTTTTTATTTTTCTACATAAAAAGACAAGTTCATCCAGCTTGGGTTTGGGGACTCTTTAAACATTCTGGGAGTGGGGAGCGGGGAGGGAAGGGAAAAATGAGGACCTAATGCCGGGGGCTAAAGTGGAGAGGAAATGTTTTGAGAATGATGAGGGCAGTGAATGTACAAATGCGCTTTACACAATTGATGTGTGTATAGATTGTGACAAGAGTTGTATGAGCCCCTAATAAAATGATTTAAAAAAACAAAAACATTCAGTACATAGTTTTCTAAGCCCAGATAATGATGTCCATATATGAAGTCTATTCTTGCCAGAGGCAATTTTATACAAGTTATTTTACCAAGGAAAATTTTAATGACTTCCTGACATTTAAAACTCTTAGTTACATTTAGACTTGCTAGAGACCTTTTTGTTGGCTGCTTTGTTTTTGCTTTTTCAACTTCTATCGCAGCGGTTCTCAACCTGTGGGTCGCTATCCCTTTGGGGGTCGAACAACCCTTTCACAGGGGACAACCAATTCATAACAGTAGCAAAATTACAGTTATGAAGTAGCAACCAAAATAATGTTATGGCTGGCGGTCACCACACATGAGGAAGTGTGTGAAAGGGCCGCAGGGTTAGGAAGGTTGAGAACACTGCTACATCAGCTTCTCAGCAGTTACTTCTAGTATCTCTGCCCTTTTTCTTTTCTCACTGTGAGTCACTGAGGGAGCTTTTCAGACCTGAATAGGAAAAAGCCTCTCAGGTGTACTCTCCAAGCTCTACCACGTGGAGGTACCAGGAAATGTGATCTGCACTCTCTAAATTAAAATGATTGGTTAGGATATTATCAGAAGCCTCACAAAGCGTTGGGAAGTGTATCCTCAATTTTTAAATGAGAACAGATCACTCAAGAATTTGCTTTGAAAGTCTGCACAGAAAGGGAGTAGAGGATGTTTTATTTACCAGTTTCATCTTGTGCTGGTATTTAATAATTTTCAATCCCCAATAAATCATTTTATTGGGGGCTCTTACAACTCTTGTAACAATCCATCCATCCATTGTGTCAAGCACATTTTTACATATGTTGCCATCATCCTTTACAAAACATTTTCTTTCTACTTGAGCCCTTGGTATCAGCTCCTCAGTTTTTCCTCCCTCCCACTCTCATGAACCCTTGACAAAGTATGAATTATTACTATTTTCATGTCTTACACCGTCTACTGTCTCCTTTCACCCAAGTTTTGGTTGTTTGTCACTCTGAGTTGGGGGGTTGTATGTCGATCATTACCATCAGTTCCCCTTTGCCTTTTTTTTAAATCACTTTATTAGGGGTTCATACAGCTCTTATGAAAATGCATCCATCCATCCATTGTGTAAACCATATTTGTACATTTGTTGGCATCATTCTCCAAACATTTGCTTTCTACTTGAGCCCTTGATATCAGCTCCTCATTTTTGCCCCTCCCTTACCACCCTCTCTCCCTCACAAACCCTTGATATTTATAAATTATTATTTTTTCATGTCTTACACTGACTGATGTCTCCCTTTACCCATTTTTCTGTTGTCCGTCCCCCAGGAAGGGGGTTATATGTAGATCATTGTGATCGGTTCCCTCTTTCTCCCCTGACCTTTCCCTTACCCTCCTGGTATCACTGCTCTCATTATTGGTCCTGAGTGGTTTTACCTGTCCTGGGTTCCCAGTGTTTCCAGCTCTGTACCAGTGTACATCCTCTGGTCTAGCCAGATTTGTAAGGTACAACTGGGTCATGATAGTGGAGGGGTGGAAGCATTAAAGAACTAGAGGAATGTTGTATGTTTCATCAGTGCTGTACTGCACCCTGGCTGACTTGTCCCTTCCTTGTGACCCTTCTGTGAGGGGATATCAAGTCTATAGATGGTCTTTGGTCTCCACTCTGTCCCCGCCTCTCCTCACCTCATTCACATCTGTATGATTCTTTGTTTTGGGTCTTCTGATGCCTGGTACCTGATCCCATCGACACCTTGTGATCACACAGGCTGGTGTGCTTCTTCCATGTGGGTTTTGTTGTTTCCCTGCTAGATGGCCACTTGTTTAACTTCAAGCCTTTAAGACCCCAGACTCTGTATCTTTTATTTATTTATCTTTTTAAAATCATTTTATTAGGGGCTCATACGACTCTTATCACAATCCATACACACATCAATTGTGTAAAGTGCATTTGTACATTCATTGCCCTCATCATTCTCAAAACATTTCCTCTCTAC